GTGCCTATGAAAGTAGTTGGGGAAAGTGAGGTGCCAAAGGAAGAAGTTGAATGGAATGATGAAGACTTGGTGAAGATCATGATCAACAACAAAGCAATCAACATGCTTCAATGTGCTCTCAATCCAACGGAATTCCATAGAGTTTTCGGGTGTGATACAGCTAAGGAGATATGGGACATGTTGGAGGTAACACATGAAGGAACAAGCCAAGTGAAGGAGTCAAAAATCAATAGATTCATTTACATGTATGAGTTTTTCAAGATGAAACCAGAGGAGAGCATTTAAGATATGTATACAAGATTGAATGATATAGTCACCAATCTAAAGGCTATTGGTAAAGTCTATCCTCCTCAAGAAGTGGTGAGAAAGGTTCTTAGAAGCTTGCTTAAGAGTTGGGAAGCCAAGAAGACGACAATTGAAGAATCTAAGGATCTCAACACTCTCAAGCTTGAAGATCTCATTGGTAAATTGATGACATATGAGATAGAAGTTCAAGGTGATGGTGGAGTTGAAAAGGTTGAGAAGAAGAAGAAGAATGTTGCTTAAAAGGCTAGCAACCAAAAGGAAGATAGTGAAGATGATGCTAGTAATGATGAGTCTAGCAATGAGGAGGACATCACCAAATTGATTTCAAAGGAAGTGAAGAGATTCATGAAGAAGAACATCAAGAGCAAGCTTGCAAAAAGAGATGAAGGAGAGTCTACCAAAAGGAGTGTGAAATGCTATGAGTGCAACAAGATAGGGCACTATAGAAATGAATGTCCCAAATTGAAGAAGGGTGAAAGGAAAAACAAGAAGAGCATGAAGAAGAAAGCTTTTACCGCCACTTGGAGCCATGATGAGACTAGCTCAACGGAAAGTGAAAGCTCCTTGGAAAATGGTGTTGCAAATCTTTGCTTCATGGCTCAAGAGGATAGCTACAATGATGAGGAGGTAAACTCTAACTTCTCTAGTTCAATTAATGAAAATTCATTTGAGTATTCTTATGATGATTTATGCAAAGTTCTTGATTGCTCTATGAATGACATTAAGAAACTAGGAAATGATAATATTGCTCTTACTAAAACCATTTCATTGCTTAGGAATGAGATTGAATCTCAAAACAAAATGAGGTTTTAGTTAAAGAGAATGCCTCTTTAAATGGTGAGATTGCTTCTTTAAAGAATGAGGAGTCTAATAATGCTTTGAAAAAAGAAAATGAGGATTTAAAGAAAGGAAAATGAAGATTTAAAGAAGGAAAATGAGGTTTTGAAGAGAAAAGCTTGTGATCTTGAGAATGTGATTTTCAAATTTACCTTGAGTAAAGAAAAATTTGATTCTATCTTAAAATCCCAAAGAAGTATTTATGATAAAGGGGGCATTGGATTTGATTATTCTAAAAAGCAAAAGACTTTTAAGACTACTTTTGTAAGAGCAAGTCCATCCTATCATCCTAGTGTTACTTGCTATTGTTGTGGTGCAAATGGACACTTTGCTTATGCTTGTCCTTTAAAAAGATTAATAGCTCAAGGTAAAGTGAAACAAATTTGGGTTCCAAAAGGAACTTTAAGCACTAACCCCCATGGACCCAAGCAAATTTGGGTACCAAAAATCAAAACTTAAGTTTGTTTTGTAAGAAAAGTTGATGGCAAAGTCATAAGGAAAGCAAAGTAGATCTTAAAAAGACTTATGCCTCAACAAGAATGTTGGAGTGAAAGTGCACAGAGAATTTGTTTTTGGATGCTCTACTCATGTGCTCAAATTGGTATCATTTATCCTATTGCATTTATTCATTAAGTATAATCACATTAGCATGACTATTAATTATTGGTTTATGTGTGTTCACTCTTTGATATATATGCTTGTTGAATATGATATCATTTGATGTGATTATTAAAGTTTATGCAAATTAATGAGCTTGGCATATTAGATCCTAATGCTTGATATGGCTTTTGAAATTAATGTATTTGCTTATTAGAATTTGTGTATATTGATGCTTTGATTTGGGTACCTTGATTATATTTATACTATTTGATGATGCATACATTGATATATGACTAAAGTTGCATTATCTAGTAGTTGATGTCCAATTTAAACTTAGTTAAATGAAGAAATATCAAATTAAGGTGCATTCTCTTCAAAACAGCCCCAAACTTTCTGTTTGTCCCAATCAAGGCCAATAGAGCTGGCTCATTCCTTTCCACAGTCGGCTCAACCCAAAAAAACTGAGAGTCTTCTCTCTCTAAACCACAACCGGCTCTAGGTTCACCAGCCGGCTCAACTGTAGGCGACCCGACCCGGACCCGCTTTACAGCCGGCTATGTAATTATAGCCGGCTCTCTTCAGATTTTTAAAGGCCTCGGGTTTCTCTCTCCCCACACAAACTAGCCAGATCTGTTTCATTTTCTCACCAAACCCACAACCTTTCCTCTCCCAAAACTCATCATTCACTCTCCCAAACACCAAAATCTCTCCAAATCTCCAAAACCCATTCGTTAAACACTCAAATACCATCAAATCCTTGCCTACCCAACACAAAACCTCAAGCTTTTCACTTCAATTTGTGTGGGATTTGCTGAGTTCTCTCTCTCATGGCTTCAAGAAGGGGCGGAAGCAAGAGGAAATAGATTGGGAGTTCTAGTGCTGGTGGCCAAGACCAGGAAGAAGGTAACCTTGTTGATAATGCTCTGTTTGTGGATGATGATGCCATTAATCGCTATAATTTTGTCAAAAACTTGGCTGTGCTACCATGCAATTGTGTGAAGTTTAGTCAATTTCCTCAAGGAGATATGCTTGTTGAACAGATATTTAGAGATATTGAGTGGATAAATTATTTAGAAATTAAGGAGCCTGTGTATCATGAAGTAGTTCATTAGTTTTATGCTAATTTGAAACCAAAAAGGAATACATGCCGCACCATGGTTTCTGGGATATCATTTCAGTTTTCACCAAGAGAAATTTGTGCTACATTAGAAATACCTGAAGGAGGAGATGATTAGTTTGAAGGTGTAAATATATCTGAAGTTAGAGCCACAATTGCCCCAAATTGTACTACTGGACAAATTAATGTGGGATTTCTTACACTAGAACACAGAGCTTTGCAGTGGATTATTAGTCGCATTCTTGCTCAGAGAAAGGGTTCCAAATCTATTGTACTTAGTGGTGATCTCTTATGGTTTGATTATCTTCTCAAAAGGAAGAGGTTGAACCTTAGAAGATTCATTTACTGGAACCTAATCAAGACTTATTCATCAAACATGGGTCTTCCTCATGGTGCTTTAATTACTAGATTGGTGAAGAGGAACAATGTTGATTTTACACCCTTTATGCTAGGAAAGGTTCAAAGTGGGACTACACTTAATAAAGCTTCCTTTGAGAATATGCAATATGAGTTTCGGAATGGTAGCTGGAGGACGAAAAGGGATCTAGTAATGGAACAGCAAAGTGATGAAGAAGAAGGTGATACAGATCAAGAAATGGCAGAACAAGGGGCAGAAGAACATGAAGATTACAGCCCAAGACCATTTCGAGCCTCCATGCAAAGAACTAACCGTGAAACCATGGAGTTAATGATATCTGAGATGCAGCAGCTGCACACCGACTTTTATGGTTTCTAGACAGAAATGAGAGGGAGAATGACTAACGTGGAGGGAAAGCTTGATCGGCTTGTTAACCATTTTTTTCCTCCACCCCCACCTGATGCCACCTAACTTGATATATCTTGAGTTTGGCTAATCTTTAGGATGGACATCTTAGGGTTATGCATGTTATGCTTTTCTTTGACTATAGATATTTCTTGAACATTTTTATCCTGTTTTATGAATGGAAATGACATTGCTTGTGTTATCATGCTTTGTGAATGGTTGTTTATGATTTTGATGATTATATGCTCTTATTGAGGGGGAGCATTTTGTGCTTAAATTGCTTTTCTTAATGGTTATCATGCTTAAATGCTTTAAAGATTGATGTGCATGAATTAAGGGGGAGTTTGTTGATTATGTGCTTTTTGATGAATGACAAAAAGGGGGAGAAGAATATGATGAATTTAATGTCATTTTCTAGAGTATCTTTGTGTTGAGATTCTAACTAATATTGAAGTATATATGTGCTTTCATTAATTCATTCTCAAAGTGTTTTGTCATCATCAAAAAAGGGGAGATTGTTGTACCTATGATTTTGATGATTACAAAACACATTTGAGTGATTAATTGGTTCATTTAAGTGTGTAGTTAAAATGTCAAAAGATTGCAAAATAAGTAAACTTGGACTGCACTTAAAAATGGACCAGAAAGGCTTGAATATCTACAGAGAGCCGGCTCTTGAAAGCTGCAGCCGGCTTTACAAGCAAAAATTTGAAGACCTTTGTTTGGCGCGCGTGGAGAAAGGATGCAAAGCCGGCTCCAACTTTATAGCCAGCTGTGAGGGTGTATTTAATGCACAACGGTCGAGTTATTTAAAGATTATTTAATGTATTTAAAGTTGGAGTTGCAAAGCCGGCTCAAAGTCTTGTAGCCGGCTCTCGAGGAAAATAGAATGTGCAGGAATCCCGCAAAGCCGGGTGCAAAAATGGTGAGCCAGCTGTATAGAGTCGGCTCTAGGAAGTTAAGTCGACTCTCTTGACAATTCTGTAGCTCGAGCTTTGTGTCCTGCAGGGCATTTAATGACCCCCAACGGCTAGAAACGGCTATTTTCGAGCAAGGGGCTATAAATATGGTTGGTAACATATATGAACAAGTTTAGAGAGTATTGTATTGAATATCTTTACCTACCTACATGAGATTTAACTTGAGATTTTGATTTTTAAGAGATCTTTGTTTGTAATCCTCTTCTTGTGCTATTAGTGAGTGCTATTGGGGATGTGTTGATTCCTTCAAGAGTGATCTGTAGAGAGGATCTTTGGGATTTAAGTGTAAAGGGGTGAGATTTGAGAGAAACCCTTGTTCTTGTAAAGGATTGAGTGGCTCCTTTAAGCCATCATTGTTTTTGTTAGTGGAGAGTGTGGAGGAAATCCTTGGAGAGTGAAGCCAAGGTAGAGGACTAGGCTCTAAGTGGTTGGACTGAACCTCTATAAACTCATTATGCAAACTCTTCTTCTCAACCCTCTCTTTAATTTTTGTTTGGTGGTTGCAAAGAGGTGAAAATTCTCCAACTCCAATTCACCCCCCCTCTTGGAGTGCATTGAGTCAACATGTTTTACTCCAGACCTTTGACAAAATGATAGAGATGAAGAAGGCATGGACTTATGGCTTCTCTAATGAAATATCAACAGTATCCACTAGCGTAAGATTAATGACAAGCATCAATGTATTCAAAATAAAGTAGAAAAGAAAGGAAATGTTTGAAAATTTGGTCCTAGCCAGTAAAGCAATCCATAATAGACTATGCAAGCTGTTAAACCATAATAATCATTGCGATTTTTGCTTAAAAAAAAAAAAGAATTTTCAAAAGGAAAAACAGACCCATGTGATGAAGGAACCACTTCCTTAGGTAGTGAAAAGGATCTCATCATCCTCTGAAGAATCTAATGAATAAAGACATAAGCTCTTACGTTACTAAAGAAAAAAATAAGTGTCGACAAGATTCCATGTAATCTGTTTTAGTAAAAGCCAAAAGTAAGTCTAGATTACTAGACAGTTATGGAAACTTTAAACGTCAACAATGATGGAAGAAAAGATTCTAAGGAGTGCTATAAAAAGCCTCCTATAAGTTGTAACAGTTATTGGGCATTTGAATACCCAAATACCTTACTTGAAAGCCTTTTACCATGCATCTATAAACACCCTTCAAAAGGAAATGGAACTTTTGCTTTCTCTTAGAAATAAAATCATGTTTTAGAAAAATTCTTGTGTTTATATCCTTCTTTATTTCCATCATAAAATAAAATGAGAAGAATCCTAAAGAAACTTAAGCAGTAGTAAAGTCACTTGCCTTGTCCAAATACCCATTGTAGCTTGAGTTTGGCATTGAGGGTTGGACGAAGAAAGCATTTGCTTGACTGAAGGCTAAACCAAAGGATTTTTAGTAAAGTTCTAACTCATATATTTTATCATGTGAAAGTAAAGTGGGCATAGAAACAACTATATTATTCTTTAACATTAGATTATCTTTTAAGATGAGAAATGATGGGGAAATAGTACCTGACCTCTTATATTTTGAATAGAAAAGTCCATTTTTATATCAAATCATTGTAATCTAAGATGCTTGATTTTATTTAAGAAATTGATGTAGATAAGAAGGTTTATGAGCAACAATGCCAATATTATAAAGATAAAATAGTAAAAAAATTTAAAAAAAGAAGCAATATTGAAGATGAATATAGTCCATCTAAGAATCTCAAAAAATTGAAGCAAACAATTAGAGATTTAAATGAAGATATAAAAAGATTAAAAAAGGCTAAGCAAAGATTATCTTTATTAGCAACCTAATAGATCTAATTCCGTGTTTACCGAGCTTTGTCATAACTCAAATTTTTAATAGAATTTTATTTCTAGTCTTATTTTTATTTTAACTAATCTGTTTTTATCTTTGTTTTCCTTGTTAGGTTCATGAGTAAAATGGGGGATTTTTGTGAAGGATTGGAAAGAAGTTGAGGATGAGGGATCCAATTGAAGAAATGAAAAGTTGAAGGGTGAAATGCATTAAAGTTCAACCCAAAACCCATTTACACCTTAAACCCATCTTAAATGGCCCAATTCCAACCCATTTCAATTTTAAGCCTTAAACCCAAAAACCCAAAGCTTACCAACTGCCCAAGTCCAAAATCCCAAAACAAAACCCAAAACCAAACCCAAAACTCAAAAACAAAAAAAAAGGGAGGGGACGGTCTCTGGAATCTTCTTCAAAGTCAACTCTCTCTTTTAAATGGGGAAACACAGCCGAAACACAAGGGGAGAGGACCGGCAGAACAGAATACCAAAAACAGAAACGCCCCTGCCTCGCACCAAGCCCTGCGCCCTGCGCCCCTACGCCTCTACCCCTGCACCTGCCCTGCACCAGATCCTGGCCTTGCTCTGCACCGAGCCCTGCGCCCCTGCTGCACCGAGCCTGCGCCTGGATCACGCCCAGATTTCCTTGCTATGCGCCCCCTGCTGCGTTGACCCTGCTGCTGCGCCTTTGCCCCTGCAGCCAACCGAGCATGAGACAAACCTGCAGGATGACATCACGCTCCAGCTTTCTTGGCTGCTCTGCAGGGCCAGTTTTGGCCTCACCCGATCAATGGTGGAAGGAAAAAGAAGAAAATTGAAGGGTTTGGATGAGGAGAGAAGAAGGGTTTTTAGGGTTTCTATGTTTGGGTATAAATAGAGGGTTTTAGGTTAGAAACAGGGGGTTCTTTGGTTTTGAGTTTTGGTGTTGACGGCAAAGAAAAGAAAGGGATCTCGGCTAGAAGGAAGCAGCAGCTTGAGAGGAGATCATTAAGCTCTTAAAGGAGTGACTGTTTTTGGAAGCTGCGTTTCTGGATTTATCTTTCCTTTAGGTATTTTTCTTCAACAGAGGAGTTCTTTTGGGGAGACAGTGAGGGGAATGATCTGGGCTTGATCCCGTGGGTGGGATCCGCCCGATCGGACTCCGACCTGTTACCCAGAAAGCTCCGCCGTGTTTGTTTCTTTTGTGCTCCTGTTTCCGTGACATGCTTTTGTGATGTTTACATTTGTATATGTTTACCTGAAAATGAATGAGAATCCAAGATTAACTAAGTTATTGTGTTTTGATGAATTTGCTCTTTCTTTGCTGATTGGCGAATGTGATTTTCTCATGACAACGTGTTCTTTCTTTTCTTTTAAAGACATGAACCTAGTTGCAAGCCTTTATGCATGTTTGATCTGTATTTGCTTATTTTTGAATAACGGGTCATGTTTCTGGGTTGGGTCAATCCGACCCAATTCAATATTAAAAAAAAAACTAAAAAAAAGGCTAAAAGGTAAAAAAAAATTATTAATATAAAATTATTAATTAATTAAAAGAGTTAATTTAATTTATGATTAATGAAGTTAATTAATTTTAATTAAAATAAATTAATCATATTTATTGAGTTTGATTTGAGATAATTAGATTTATTTAGTTATTTCAATTAATGATTAGTAGATATGATTAATTAATTTTAATTAATTTTGATTAATGTTAAGTTAATTATTTAATTAAGTTAATTATCTTGATTAATTAATTTTAATTTTCAATTAACTTCAATCTTGGTCAAAGTCAAAGTTTTCTTTTATTTTATCTCAATTCCACCCACAAGTTTTATGATTAAGCAATTCAGTCCCAAAGTTTCAAATCTTTTTAAATCAGTCCTTTATGTTTTCGAATTTAATCAAATTAGTTCCTTTAATGTTATTTGTGCTTATGATGCATGCATGTCTTTGATTTTGTCCATTTTAGCCCAAAAATTTAAAAAAAAAAATGTTTCAATTTGGTTTACCCTTCTTTCAAGTTTGCTTATTAAGACTCAAACATAAACATGATGAATCAATTGAATCAAAACCCCAATTTTAAAGTATGCAACCGTGTTTAAACGGAGGATTGTGAGGTGCGCGTATGCCCTTTCTCACTCTTAATCGAACCCCCAAACCCTGATCTCTGCGCAGACTTGTTTTAGGTGACTTGTCCCACCTTATAATTTGGACGAGTGGCGACTCTCCTTCTCTTTTTATATTTTCACACTTAATTCCATTTTTAAGTGGTCGTCAACAAGCTTAATATACCAGCTACTTATTAGTCAATAGTAGTTTGAGTTAGGTTTCGAAAACCCATTAGAAATCTCGTATTAGAGCCATAAAAGAATTAAAATACAATGATGTTAAGAATGTATTTAAGAAGAAAAGTCAAATTTTGTGAACAACAAATTGGTATAATCTCAAAAATTATAGAATTAGAAAGGATGATCCTTTATAGAACTGATAAATTATTATGGGATAGTTATACTCTTGAAGTGAGAAGAGCAATAGCTTTGGAAGAATTAAAAATCTTAGCAAGATAAAATAAAAATTAGTTTTGAAACAAACTCAAGTTTAGTGACTAAAGTGTTAACTCAACAAAAGATGAAAATTGAACATAACGGTTAGGACCATGAAATGTTTGGTCAAAGGGCAAGAACCCGATTCAGTAAGTTAAAGGGTAACCCTGACTTACAAATTGGAGAGCAAAAACCCTTAAAGTCAAAAAGTTGAAGGGCAAAGCATAGGTACTTGCCAGCCAATCTCATTTCCAACTTTCAACTCTATCCATTGCTTTCCTCAAAATAATAATTCTACCCATTGCTAACCACTTTGTTTTAGTTTTTATTTGTTTATATTTGTTTTTTTATCTGACGCCCTTAATTTCAACACTAGTTTAGGCCCTAAACTTTTGAATATGTATCAAAACATCTTTAAATTTCAGAAAGTAAATTTGAAAATTATCATTGATTTGGGGAAAACAAAGATATATATATCAACATTAGGGACCTACTTGAACAAATTAGTAAAAGGAATAGTTCTGAAAACTAAAAAGACAAATGTGTCCTTAACTTCTTCTTCTTTTCTACTCCTTCCCTCGTGTCCCATCATTGAATCAAAGATCGATTAGGACCCCTTTTGGTCTTTTCTCCTCCACCATTGATTGGCCTCTTCTTCTCCATCACCTTTCTCAATAACCTTTTTTTAGTACCTTCATCGATCACACATATGATATTGTAATACCCCAAAATTTTTAGAGCATTAAAGTAAGTTAGGGACCTAATTGTGAGGAAATACCATTAATGAATGTAATAGCAACAATTTTCAAAAGTTTGGGGACCTAAAAGAAAGGAAATTAGGATAAGGATGGCTGAGTTGTTCTTTCTTTTTCTTTTTCTTCTTCCTTATCCGCGCATCTGCTCTTCTTTCTTCTCCCCTGCACCCGACAAGCCCCCCCCCTAGCCACTGACGCACTCCTCTTGAGAAATTCGGCAAAAAGGCTTGAATTTTCCTCTTCCTTTCTTGTTAAATCACAAGATTTGGGGCTTAGAATCTTCCCTCTCAACCCAGAAAATCCCGGTTCTGCTCTGCTCTTCTCCCATGCCCGCCGCCTGCTGTGGGTTTGAATTTCTGGGCATTTTTCGGGTAAGCCACAGCCAAGAAATCATCTCTTTAACCTTGATTTAGGTTGGGTTATGCTAATTTCTGTTTATTTCCCTCAATTTTTTTGGGTAGTCCGTGAGTTTCCTGCAGCTTGCCGCCGGCTTCTTCTTCCCCTGCTAGCTCCGGTTCTTGCTGGAAAATTCTGGTATGATGGCCACTTCTTTAAGCCCTAAATTAGCCCTTTAATTGCTGCTTTGTGTGTGTCCGAATTGTGCCGGAAATGGGGAGGAATTCCGGTAGTATTTTAAATGTGATTTAAGCTTGATTATGTAGAATTTAGCTTGAATTAGCTGCTGTGATGTTTTGTGTGAGAAATCCCGGGTGTGAGTGTGGTTTTTGCCGAGCCATTTTCTCCATTTTTCTATCCTGGGAGTTGGTAGCTTAAGTGGGTTTTTGTTTAATTTAAGTGGAAATTAGCTTAAATTAAGTGGGATTTATATGATTGAGTGTTAATTGACTACTGTGTGATTTTTGGAGAAAATCCCGTGAATTAGCTAGTGTTTTGGACAATTTTGGAAGTGCAGTTACTGTTTACGGTACTGTTCATAGGTACTGTTCACGGGTACTGTTCATGGGCACTGTTTACACCAGGAGAGTCAACATTAACAGGGATTTAAGTGATTAGTTTGTGATATAAGAACGAATTTGGAGATATTTGATAATGTGGAGATTTATAGAAATAGTATCGTGATTAAGAGTAGTCTTAATTATGATTTTAGTGTGAATTTGTGGTGATACGATAATTAATTGTGGATATTTTGATTAGGTTTCCGATTGTTTTGTCAGTTAGCATTGAGATTGAATCTTCAATTTATGCGAGTGAGGTAAGTAAATTATGATAACGCCCTTTGATTTTAAAAGCATGTTTTGATTTGTTTTTGAAGTGGTGGCGGGACTAAACCCGTTTTACACAAGTATGACTGATTTGAAGTGAAATGTTTTATGCTTTTCATTAAATTGAGCATGCCTACTTGAAATTTAAGTGACTATCCGGATGATCTGAAAGTGATTGTGAATTGTGATTTTCTTGTTAACTTCTGCCTGTTTTGTCTTCGATGTGGTCATGTTATTAGTGACCCCGCTAGTGGGGGAGGTTATAAACGCTAGCACATGTCGGCACATGTCGATATGTTATTCGTGACCCTGCTAGTGGGGGAGGTTATAAACGCTAGCACATGTCGGCACATGTCGATATGTTATTCGTGACCCTGCTAGTGGGGGAAGTTATAAACGCTAGCACATGTCGACATGTTATTGATAGAACCGGTTCGTTGAGTGACCCTGCTTGTGGGGGTTATACACCAGCAAATAGTGACCCTGCTTGTGGGGATTATACACCAGCAAACAGTGACCCTGCTTGTGGGGATTATACACCAGCAAATAGTGACCCTGCTTGTGGGGATTATACACCAGCAAACAGTGCGCTTGCCAGTGGGTGTTAGACGTTGGCCGTGACCTATAGAGGAGACGTCTATTTTGTTCCTGTACTGTATCCGTTTTGCGTGATTGCGCATGTTGGTATGCTATAAGTTTAATTAAGGGCTATCCATATTTATTTACTGAGTTATCTCATAGTTTTTCCTTGTCCACCATTTTAGGAAGTGAAACCGAGGACGAGGAAACCACGGGAAGTGACGAGTTAGAAAGTTAGCCATTTCGAGATTGATATAGATTTTAGAAATAAATCGTGATTTTGTAAGCTAGAGTGTATTTGGAGATTTATGATATCGGAGAAATTTTAAAGATTTGATCTTCAGATTTTGATGGTATCAAATTGTGATATGATAAGTTCCGAGCCTTGTGCATTTGTGAGACTCGTCTCACGAGTGCATGGCGTCTGTCGCGCTCGGATTTGGGTTCTGGGGCGTGACAGATATTTAGCGAGCAATTGTCTCCCCGTCCCCTTCCATATTTTTCCCTTTCCACTTCTCCAATTTATCCCCTTCCCCAATTCTTTGATTTTATATCTAACAATTTCCCCTTTTCTCCCCTTAATAACAGCAAACCTAGGTCTAAGATACAAGCTCAAGAGCCTGGCTAATAAGGAGGAAAATTGATGATGATGATGGTGACAATGATGATGATTAAAGGGAAAGAGAGGTAAGTTTTGGGTTTTAGTCTGAGGCCTCACTATAAATAGAAATGTTAGGTGAGAAAAGGGGTAGATTTTCTAGGTTTTGAGTGGAGGGAGCCAACGTCTAAAGATATAGTTCCTAGGAGAAATTGTGAACTTTTGTTCTACGTACCCACCATTTAGGAACCAAGCAAATTTTATTACGGTATAACTAATCCATGGACCTTCATAGTTGGGTATTCTGAAATAGTTATTTCATTTTGTTTTTTTTTTTTTTTCTTTATAGTTTTCTTGCTTACCTTGCATTTATTTGGTGGTTTTAGCATTATTTTGGATTGGGGAAGTTGGGAGGAAAGAGGAGGAGGGGGAGCTGCTTTTTGCTAGTATCGGGGTTATTGATTTTAAGGGAGGTGGAAGGAGATGGAAGGAACTGAAATCCCTTTTATTGTTCTAGTTTTAATCCCTTTAAATCAAAAGTATTAAAAAAGATTAGTTCTATATATTTAATTTTTTTTAAAAATAAATATATAAAAATATTTTATATCAATTTTTTAATTAATAAATTCTAAAAATTTTATTTTATTTTTTAAAATTATTTAATTAAATAAAAAATTATTTTTTCCCTTTTATTTTTATCTATCTAAATAAAATTAAATCAATTATTTCTTTTTCTTCACCTCTCCTTTCTTTTTTCTCTTATTTCTTTTCTTCCCTTTATTAATTTTTATCCAAATAAATGTTTAAGCAATGATAATGCAAGATCCTTAAGTTTATGGTTTGAGGAAGAAAAGGGAAGAATTTTACAATAAAAGACCACGTGGACAGGGACGGTAGATATAATAAGGGCGCGAGGCCTTGCTCTTTTGAAAAAAAGAAAAGTACTTTTTAGTATTTGGGAAATGCTTTTTATATAATATTTTTATTTTATTTTTTTGTACAACTTGACGTGTTATTAAAGTAATTGATCTTTTTAATTTATGTGAGACTTGTGATATTGAATGCATCTACTCATTTAATGACATGTGAAAGTTGTATAAAAAAGTAAGACAAAAATGTTGTCCTCATAGCACTATCTTTAGTATTTTATGAAAATCTTAATAAATAAATTATTATATATTTAAATTTAATAAAATAATAAGTATCAGATTTGAAATTTTTTGTACATATTTCAAGAGAAAAAAAAGTTTACTCTAATATGTATTTGAAATAAAAGAAAATAAATCTATAAAATGTTTTTTTTTATTATTATTATTATTAAAAAATAATATAAAATAATTATTTAAAAAAATTAAAATCGTAAAAATAGTTTTCAAAATCTCTAACTAACTTCAAAATTTCTAAAACCAAATTTTACTCGATTCCACATTCATTCTTCTCTCCTTACGATAGAGATGTTATGTCCTGTATTAGTTAGAAAATTCTATTAAGTCTCTTTTTGTCCTTTATTTTTAATTTTTTCTTATACATTATTAATTTTTTAATTAATTAAACAATTTGATGACAAAAATGATAATTTGGTTTCTTACTTTTTGAAAATAGCAATCATATCTAATTTAGAAATTGGCTACAATACTTATTTTATAGATTAAATAATTTAATTTCATAGTGTCATAGATAATTTTATTTCATTATTATTAAATTATAAATAAAACTTTTAATTTTTTTAATGGTACTATGAATTTAAATTACTTTGTTATTAGTGAAAATTTCATCTAGAACTCTTATAACATAAGCAAATAAAATATTTTAATTTTATGATATCATAATTCCTGTTGAGTCATTTTTTATTTTATATATGTTATAATTTATATTATATTTGTAAATAATAAAAAAAAAATTGGCACCCTCTCTTAAATTTTGTTCGAGCTTCGTCGCTATAAGGTCATAAACTAGGAGAAAGTATGCAGAATTTTTATTGAAATCTAGGTTTTTTTAGTAATGGAAGCCTGGAATGTGCTAACTTTGTTTGTTAGTCTTTTTTTTTTTTTTTTTTTTTTTTAAAGGTGTTTGATGGGTTGGAAGTTTAGAAAGTTTGGTACAGTAGCGTTAGATTTACTTGTTTGTGGGTTAAAAACGTTGTGGGCTGTGTTTTCGTGTTTGGTTAGGTTCAGTTGTCTGTAACCGTGGGATCCTGAGAAAATGAAGAAGAAATTGTGCAAGTCTCGGTTTTGTAATTTGTGGTTGTTGGTCTTGGTGCAGAAAATGATGTTGGTGCTTTTTCTATAAACACTAAATACTGAGAAAAATGATTTAGAAATAAT